GTCTTTACAACCACGTTAAGCATCTTCACCCATTTCTCATGTACTCTGCTTTCTCTGTGGAGATTATTAAAGCAGCAGTTAAACAGAGGACAGAAATGCTGATGTTATGTGGGTGTTTGCCAGTAAAAGCTGCTTTTCGTTATCTCGTTAAATGTAGAACAACACGATACTCATGAATCATCAGCCCACCTAATTGGGAACAATGTGAGAATCACAGTCTGAGTCATTCCTTCGGCTCCAGATCCACCTATGTCATTTGCAGCACCATCTTCCAGTGGATGTTCTTACTTGACCTTGGCTGGTTCAAATTTAGGGTGAGGACAAGGCTAATTGGCATATTTAGTACATAGCAACCAATCCATTTTCTTTTTCCTGCAGTCAGACCAGTGAAGGATTGTTGCACTTTGCACAATGTCTTAGGCTACGTTCACACTAGCGTTGTGTGCAAGCAGCAGAGAGGCATTTGGGAAGCGTTTTTACCGCTTCCCAAACGCCTCTGCCAATTATGCACATTACAGCACATGGTGCTGTTCTAACGGGAGCATTTGCGTCGCTTTGCGGCGGCAAAACAGACGCCTGTGGTCAAGCCAGGAGGCGTCGAAGCCTCCTATTCTCGTCTATGGTGCCGCTCCGCAAACGCCCGGCCGGCGTTTGCTGTGCGGTTGCGACGCGGTTGCGGGGCGTTTGCGGAGCGGTAACACCACTCTAATGGCTCATTCACACTTGGCTGTTTTACCAACGCTTGCCAAACGCCCCTATAGCGTTTGGCAAGCGTTGGTCCGGCATTTGCGGAGCGTTTTTTAACGCTCGGCAAACGCTCGGCAAACGCTCCGCAAACGCCGCATGCGCGGTTTAGCGGCGGTTGCTAGGCGTTTGCCGAGCGTCAATAACGCCCCCACAAACGACTATAATGCATTTTAATGGTGTTACCGCTCCGCAAACGCATCGCAACCGCTCCACAAACGCCAGCCAGGCGTTTCCGGAGAGGCACCATAGACGAGAATAGGAGGCTTCAACGCCTCCTGACTTGACCAGAGGTGTCCGTTTTGCCGCAACGCAACGCGATGAAACCGCTCCCGTTAGAACAGCACCATGTGCTGTAATGTGCAGAATTGGCAGAGGCGTTTGGGAAGCGCCTCTCTGCCGCCTGCACACAATGCTAGTGTGAACGTAGCCAAACTGCATTATAGGCGTTTGTGGGGCGTTATTAACGCTCGGCAAACGCCTAGCAACCTCCGCTAAACCGCGCATGCGGCGTTTGCGGAGCGTTTGCTGAGCATTAAAAAACGCTCCGCAAACGCCGGACCAACGCTTGCCAAATAGGGGCGTTTGGCAAGCGTTGGTAAAACAGCCAAGTGTGAACGAGTCCTTACTGAGACAACTTTACTGACAAATGGAGCAGAGTTCCACTTACACCAAGGGAAGGGTCTCAAATCTTCGCAGGCTTTGTAGCCACATTAATAATACAGCTGCTGACTTCCTGTACTGGAAAGAGTAGCCGTTCAAACAGGTAATGAGATGAAATCATTCCAACCATGACATAAATTGCAGTAATAACCTATTTGTCAGTGTAGTGGGAAGGGTAGTGCCGTATCCTCCTAGGGTAGAATTTGTACTCAATTTCTGCTTTGCTGACCATTGTATCTTGGACAGGAAGTGATACCTCCTGTGACTGTCCAACTGGTACACAGATATCATTAACACCTGCTTTGACCCTTCATCTCTCTACCACAAAGTAGTTTTTTTTCTTGCTCTTTGTGTCTCTATTGGGAAGGTTTATTCTCACTCCTGTCCTCTATGACCAGTATATCAGGGGAAATGATCCCAGCAGATAGGAACAACTTGGCATAGCTTTTAGGCCTCATGCATGCTGACCTTTTTTTTTTATTATAACTCCCCTAGAAGCCACCTCCTGGCAGCAATGTTTTGGCCAAAAAAATGCCTGACGCTTGGAAAAGTATGTACTGCGTTTGCCCACGTCCAGAGTTTGGTTATTAATTAATGGCATTGGCCATTGAAAGAAATTAACTATCAAGTGCTAAATTTGTCTAGCGTTTAGGCGTATTTACACATTTTTAAGCACGTTAAGTGTTTTTTCTGCCCAAACACCACTGCTCCGGTACGCACTGGCGCTGGGTTTTTTTTTAACTGCTTGGAAATGTCGCTGCCACTAAAATCTTATAAAAGCCATAGTGTGTGTGTGGACACATAGAATAACATGGAGGGGCATTTGGAAGCCATAAAAAAACCTGACGCTCCTAAAAGTGGCAGGAAAAACGCCGGGTGCATGAGGCCTTAATGCTTCCAAACTAACCACTATATCTGGAACATAAAAGGTGTCCTAACATGCTCTTACAATATATAAACAAATAAAAGTGGATTTCTGACTAGGATTCCACCATTTGCATTAAATGGCAGTGTGCACTTGGCTACATACTTATTGGAATGAGCACAGCTGATTACCACACCAATATGAGCATATTTGGATCTTGGGCATCCCATTCCAAAAACATTTATTTATTTATTTCAGGGACTTATATAGTGCCATTAATTTACACAGTGCTTTACATATACTGTATATTGTACATTCACATCAGTCCCTAACCCTCAAGGGGCGTACAATCTAAGGTCCCTAACTTACATTCATATACTAGGGCCAGTTAAGACAGGATCCAATTAACCTACCAGCATGTCTTTGGAGTGTGGGAGGAAACCGGAGTACCCAGAGGAAACCCACGCAGGCACAGGGAGAACATACAAACTCCAGGCAGGAGGTGCCATGGCTGGGATTTCAACCAACGACCCTAGTACTGCCAGGTAGAAGTGCTAACCATTTAGCCACTGTGCGAATCTACTCTTTTAGAAAAGGCTTTCCACAGGAATTTGTAGTGTTTCGGTGGAAATTTGTGATCATTCAGCGAAAAGTGTATTTGAGAGGTCAGGTACTGATGTTGAACGAGAAGATCTAGATTGCAGTTGGTGTTCCAGTTATTTTTTAAAGGTGTTCAGTAGGTTTGAGGCCAGGGCTTTTGTAGGCCATATAAATTCCTCTACACCAAACTTGTCTAATCATGACTTAACAGACCTGGCTTTCTGCACAGGTAAAAAGTCATACTGGAACAGAAAAGGGCCTCCTCCAAACCGTTGTCTCAAGGTTGGAAAAACACACACTCTAAAATTTCTTTTTATACTGCAGTATTAACAGTATCCTCTCAAAACACCTGAATTCAGTGATTTGGAGGGGTACCCACATACACTGGCCATTTAGGTAGGTATGATGGTCAAGTGTCCACAAACTTTTGGGCATTTAGTGTTTGGGGCTACTAGGGCGCCCACCGGGCTTGGAAGCCACCGGTTGTATCAAATTTTGCAGACATAAAACAGTGGCAGCAAAAAGAACTATCTGAAAACTACATTAACGCTGGTGCCACCTGGCCCTTTAAGAGGTTTCTGAGGGCAAGAGGAGTGGCAGGGTTTATGATCATGCGACCACCGCGATTGGCTGTCACAGTGGTCACATAATTAGGAGCTTTCCGTTAGGTGGCGGTAACTGTGTCGGGAGCGCACAGGCCGAGTGCTCTCAGCACAGGTTTGTTTACATTTTGGTACACATATATGCGGCCTCTCGGCATTGAGGCCCGCCCCTTGAGAGGCCGCATATATGTGTACTCTTGGCACAAAGAGGTTAAAGGATAAGTTCAACTTTTGAACATGTCACCAAATATGGATATAACATGTTCCAGCAGACCCTCTTACCCCCTGAGCCTGCCTTACCCCTGACAGCGGGAAGAGGTTATTCTCCCTCGAAGCCGCAGTCACATTTAAAATCATTGTGGCTGTGTGGGACTAAACCCTCATAGCCATGTAATTCATTCACAGAGATCTGTGCATGAATAACCTACATGTCCTGTCTGCCACCACAGCAGTCGGCTTGCAGTTCTCAATGGACTACAAGTGCACTGATCAGCACACTCATAGTACATTAAATCTACATCCAGCTTTCTAACTGAAAGCCCATATGGAGGTACACACAGAAAGCTGGAGGGAGCCTGATATTTCAACCACGATCCTCTGACCGGTGTAATGCTTTGCAGGCTCCTGTGTAAAATAAATAAATAAATAAAATGCACATTTTATTACCTGCAAAAAAATGTGCATTTATTTTTTTTAGTTAAAGGTGAACTTAGGGGGAGATTTACTAAAACCAGTGAACTCAAAATCTGGTGCCGCTATTCATTGTAGCCAATCGGCTTCTATCTTCAGCTTGTTCAATTACGCCTAGGTAATAAAACCTGGAAGCTGATTGATTTCTATGCAGAGCTGCACCAGAATTTGTACCATCTTTAAAAGCTTTCTCTTTATTTTTTCTTTGTTTCTGGTAAAAACCTATTCCACCCAAGCCTAATATTTTTCTTCTGGGATGTCTTTGTATGTTGAATAATATATTGGCTTTATATCTCCCTCTAAAGTGATTATGTTTCCCCACAAAAATTTGCATCGCTGCCGCTCCTACAGTGTTGTAATGAAGGTATCTCTTTTTTGAAGTGGGACTCTTTGTATTTATTAGTTCCACATTATGAAGGCTACATAAGGTCAGGGTGAAATCATCTTTTGGCTTTGTGATGGAAGGAGCTTGGATGGAACTGAAAATCTCACCACTGAAGTACCCAAGAGATATGAGAATGCATCATCAGCTCAACTTGCCAAGAGGCGAGCAATTATTGGACACCAGACCATGCATTCCATACACTGCTAATGTTAGTAACACACTTGAAAACATGCCACCTACTACTATATCCCACCCTTTACGTTTACTACAAGCTACATTTTTATATGAAGTCTAATGAGCAAAAACTGAAGCAGGTTTATTTAGATTAGGCCTCTACTAATATTATTTTATAATTTCCTATTGTCTTCCAGAGTACAGGAAAGGAGTCGGTAGGTGGCCTAGGATATTAAGTATATCACTTCCTTCTAATGGACAATATTTTCTGTTTCAGCATCTAGGAGATCAGTGGGAGAGGAGCTCAATATGGATCCAGAAACCAGAAAGGTAAACAAGAAGTGATTATATCCAGAGTTCCTTCTAATTTGCTCTAGGAAGCAGAGATGAGATTAATTTTAGCCTCAGAGAATAAGATAATCAGCCTACACAGATAGAGGCATGATTCAATAAGCTCTTAATGCATGTTATCAGGGGTGTTGGTAGACCTTGGCCCCAGGGGACCTTCCCCTATGTCTTCTACTAAGAGTCCTAGGTCTATTATGCAAATTAATTAACTGTGATAATTAACTGTTATCACAAGCACAATTATGACAAAGGAACTTAATTTGTTAAACTTTGGTCATGACTTTTTTTATACTTAATGCCAGTTCTGTAGAATTAATAAGTCTAAAGGTGGGAATACACAATTAGAAAATCGACCGATCGGTCATCCGACGACAGAGAGGCGTTCGTTTTCTGGTCGAAATTGCGGCCCACATTAACCAATCTAAAAAAAATAGTTTGTCGGGCAATACATAGTGTTGACGTCTTCCGTACAAGTGGAAGTGATGCGTGTGTGTGTGCGACCTTGTAGCCGCGCCCTTTTCGGCCAGAACGAGTGATATACACACCAATTAACAGCAATGAGTATAATATAGTTTATTACATGACCTATATACATAAATAGTGATACATAAAATATAATATGCAGAATTCTGGTTTCATTATCTCATTAGGCCAATCTACTTTTAACATTTGGATTTTTCGTTCGTGTTTATGAAGATTCCTTGGACATAAAACATCCGGGTCATCTTCTATTTCCACTCATGCGTGATAGCGCTTGATAGATTTTTTTCGTATGACCGTCATACCACCGCATAGAAAATCGGTCATTCGTATGCGAAACAACAACATTTTTCACTGTTGTTCAACCGGATTTTTTCGTTCACAATATTGTTATCGGTTAAAACATCCTGCTCATCAACGAAGAGAAAATCGTTCAATCAGTGGTTCCACCAAATTTTTTGCACTATTTTCTTATCGTGTGTACGGGCATTTCTCTGGGCATTTTTCTTTAAATAGTCCTGAGCTGGGGTTTAAAATATAAAAAAAAAAGAATCCTGGCTGTAAAATACTTTCAGCAACTAGATGTCCTTAGCCCTGCATGTTAAATGATGTCCAATATCATTCAGCCCCAAAGTCTGAGATATATTGTGATATATTGTGAGTACAGGGTGTCACAGACCTACCCCCCAAAGGGTCATCACCACAGCACCCTGCTCTTACAAAAAGTCCGTAATAATTGCAAGTGGGTGCAGCTGTAGAACATTTGGCCAGTAGCATAGAGTAGAACCTCACCTATCCAAGGTTGTGGGTGCTGGGTCAGTGGTACTACTTCCAGGTGTGGACCTGTACAAAGGTTAAATACAGAACCACAGTCTGAGTGTGTGTGGAAATTATTTACCATAGTCCAGTCTGGTCAGCATCAAGATAACAGTAAAGACATCACTGAGGTACAGCTGCTCTTTCACATGATGGTGAGCTCACAGTGGGAAAAGTTCAACTAGCCAGTGGATGTAACAATAAGCATACAGGTGCCATACATCTAGGCTCACCCATCCCACTTCAGAGCATCCATAGCGGCCGTCGATCTATTTGAGACATAAAACGTCTTCTCCTCTTCATGTGATGACTGTCGCAAGAGCGTCTTGCCCTTAGAGGGTTCTCAGGGATGCATGCTGGTGTGTAGCCCTCAATGGCTGTGAATAGTAGAGGCTGGTTAGACTGTAGTGCATCGTGTGATGGCTGACACCGCCGTCTCCATGATGACGTCAGCTACCGTATATTCTTGGCATCTCTAATGCCTGATACTAAGTTTTTTTTTTTTTCCTTCAACCCAGCAGGCTGAACGAAAAATAAATTGACAGATTGCTGTACTAACACAAGCGATGTTAGTACAGTGATCTCCTCTGCTGTGCTATTATGTTTTGACAGGGGGGCTGCCCCCCACCAGAACACACTGATCACCGCTTGCAGCCATTGGCTGCAAACCCTGAACAGATGCTGGTCGGTTGCTGGTTTTCCAGCATGCCCATTTGACAGAAGCCAAATGTTAGGTTGACTTCTGTCAGACGGGCCGCTGTACACACTGGCCAAATATTGGCTGGTTTCTGTTGAACTGGCTGATATTTGGCCCATGTGTACCAGCCTTAAAATGTGGAAGAGTGAAGCTTAGCCAGGCTATACATGATTTGTTTTTGGGGTTTTTTCGTTCAACCAGTGAGTTTAACAAAAGAAATGAACCACTTCCCCATCCACACACTTGACGTGGATGGGGGAGCCACTCCAGTTGAGCTGTTGTTTTCCTTCCCTACTGGCAGAAAACAATGATCAGTGTTGCCGGCTTTAGACGATGGCACTGATCGTTCAGGTAAAACCTGACAGGCTGGTTGTACACAAGTTGATTAATAGATAAATAGTAGATGTTATCCCAGCTTGGCTGCAAAAGTGGAAGTACACTTCGAGTTTCTTAAGTTGGCTGGTAATCCAAGCAGTTCCAAGGCTTTGTAGTTCTTAAAGCGATTATGGACCTGGATCTGGAGAGGACTGTTTGTTTTTTCAAAGTGGAAAGGAACTTTAAAGCGGAGTTCCACCCAAATGGGGAAGTTCCGCTTTAAAGATTGGTCCCCCGCTCCCCATTAAGGATTGGCACCTTTGGTGAGCGGATACCCGAAATTGACAGGTACCCGCTCCCACTTCCGCTGTGATCGCCTAGGCAATTGGAAGCGGTAGTTGTCCTCCTCCCTCGCTCCCCGTAGTCTTGTGGGACACGTGACAGGTCCCAGAAGACGACGGGGCCATTCAGGAAGCGCAGCACTACTCTCGCATGCACAGTGGGCACCCGGCTGTGAAGCTGCAAGCTGTCACAGCCGGGTACCCACACTGAAGATGCCAGCGCCTGGAATACAGGACGGCTGGTGAAACGGGCTGCTGCAGCGGGGGCAACGCGGGATCATGGTACAGGTGAGTGGCTGTTTTTTAAAAGTCAGCAGTTACAGTTTTTGTACAGAGTGAGTGGAACTCCGCATTAATGAGAAAAATATAATTATTGTTCAGTTATTTATTGGTCAGTTATATTTTAATACTTTTGTTTATAATCTAAAGTTGTTTTCATTTTAAAATAATTAGTACAGAAAGCATCCATGATTTTCAGTTTGGAAAACATTTTGGGGTTTCTAATAGAAAAGCCCAGCACTGCCTTTAAGCTTGTCACCAGCTGGTGCATATCCAACTAAATTGGATGGTCTGGACTCTCAAAGGAAGAAGTTGTGTTCTTCCTATGTGACTCAAACTGCAGTCTGTGTAATCTGATCTCCCTCATGTTTAGATGGTTTCCCTTTAAAATATTTAATGTTTGAGGGGCATGAGGTGAACAAAATGGGAAACTACTGCATAGCCACATTGCTGCAATTTGACCATTTGAAGGCCAGGCGCTACATATTCTGTTCTTTGTGATTGGATGCATTCTGCCCGGCTGGAGTAGGCTGTTGTTGAAAATGCTTACATATCAGTAGGAGAAGATATACTTTTTTAAGATCAATGTGTCACATCTTGTCACCTAATTCCTCACATTGGGTAAAGTTCTTGAAAAATGGAAAAATCAATACGTTATGCATTCTTACTTTAGGCTAAAACAAGCTGGCTGATTCTGAAAGGAGATGTGGATGTCAGTTCTACAGACGCAGACACGCGGTCACTCTGCCTCAGTTCCGGAACCTACAGAGGTTCATCCCAGAGAAATGCAGGAGATCCCTCCTACTCAGGTGAACTGGCACAGTGTATAAATGCCATATATTATACTGGATAATACTGTATATGTACTGTACTGTATATATGAATACCCCTGTTCAAGAGGAACTCCAGTCTGGCCAAAACAAGCACAGTATATATAAAACCAATATTTGTACTTACCTTTTATGCCGTAACAGGGAAGGCAGCGTACAGATTAGTTGTTATCTGATACCTTTAGAAGCCCTCATAAAAGGGACCATTTATTACCTTCACTTAGGGTGAATACCAGGCAATGGGCTTAATTCACAAAGCCTACACATCAGGCTAAGTATTCTTCTTTTCAAAAAAGTTAGTTATTTTAAGATCTGAAAATTATAGTCACATTGGTAAATTAGGCATCGATAACATGGGCATACTACAACGTAACACTTCCGAGGGCCTTATTTATCCACATAGGGATGCACAGGTGTTCCATGCATCCCTGTGCCAGTCCCATTCATGTCAATTTGGACGGTGGCTGCACAGATACAGCCGTTGCTCCCCATTCGATATCCGTGCCGGTGTGGGTGCACAGCCCTGAACGCAGACACACCTTTGCATCCCCATGCGGGTGAATATGGCCCTTGCACGGGTGTATGCTGTAGTATTACATTGTGACAGAGGCCCTAGAGAGCCTCAGCCTTGTGTCAGAGTTTTGTGATCTGAGCCTAATGTCTGTTTTTGTTTGTATAATTTAAACTCTACTTTTTGTAAATGTTTTATTTGTAACACTGAAATGCATGTTTCTTTATTAAATTTTGTAAGATTACAAATTAGCTGAATGTCATACTTTTCATAAATGAGAGGTTTTCTGAGTTTTATACTGTCCCCCAGCATGTCTGTATCCACTCTCTGCATTGTATAATGCTGAATGACAGCACGACTCATGAAGGGGCAATTACTGAAGAATCCCAGTGCATCATGAAAGCTGAATTATCTTTTCACAGTAAATAGCTTTGGCCAGCTAAAGACGTGAAGTGGCCAGAAACATAAAATAAAAATTTCTTCCAGTGTATCCAGCAGTCCCGCAGAGACTGGTAACAGTTAAGTCCCTGTAGAGTTGTATAAAATCATTGCATTTTATTATGAGACCATTTTAAAGTGAAAGGAGCCTGAATCTCAGCAGGTTAAAGTGTGTATGAACCTAAAATGTATTTCTTCGTATGTTTGGCATCATGTCTCCCTGTGTACAGTTTTCTTTAGCAAATAATGTTTTGTGAATCTGTTGCAATGTTTCTCACCTGGAGATCCTACCAGCAGTTCCTGTTACAGGCTGACAGTCCTGGGCTGACTGCATTGCAAATATCAGCAGCCTGGTCAGCCTGCCATGTGCATTCCTTCATTGGCTGGTGCCTTTCTGATCAGCAGCCTGGTCAGCCTGCCATGTGCATTCCTTCATTGGCTGGAGCCTTTCTGATCAGCAGCCTGGTCAGCCTACCATGTGCATTCCTTCATTGGCTGGTGCCTTTCTGATCAGCAGTCCCTGGTCAGCCTACCATGTGCATTCCTTCATTGGCTGGTGCCTTTCTGATCAGCAGCCTGGTCAGCCTGCCATGTGCATTCCTTCATTGGCTGGTGCCTTTCTGATCAGCAGCCTGGTCAGCCTGCCATGTGCATTCCTTCATTGGCTGGAGCCTTTCTGATCAGCAGCCTGGTCAGCCTACCATGTGCATTCCTTCATTGGCTGGTGCCTTTCTGATCAGCAGCCTGGTCAGCCTGCCATGTGCATTCCTTCATTGGCTGGTGCCTTTCTGATCAGCAGCCTGGTCAGCCTGCCATGTGCATTCCTTCATTGGCTGGTGCCTTTCTGATCAGCAGCCTGGTCAGCCTGCCATGTGCATTCCTTCATTGGCTGGTGCCTTTCTGATCAGCAGCCTGGTCAGCCTGCCATGTGCATTCCTTCATTGGCTGGTGCCTTTCTGATCAGCAGCCTGGTCAGCCTGCCATGTGCATTCCTTCATTGGCTGGTGCCTTTCTGATCAACAGCCTGGTCAGCCTGCCATGTGCATTCCTTCATTGGCTGGTGCCTTTCTGATAGACTTGGTAAGCAGCCCAACCGGAACTGAAGGAGAGCACATGGTAGGGGCTTAGCGTTGTCAGCCTTCAAAAGCAAATGCTATTACTGGCCAGAACTCTAGGTAAGGGCATTTTCAAAAGATGCAGAAAATATTATAAATCTTATTTGCTTAGGAAAACTGTATACAGGGAAACACGATACCAGACATACTACAAATAGATTTTGGGTTTACGTTAACTGAGAACTGGGAGAATATAATGAATACCCCAAATATCGTTTTTTGAATCATCCCCCTTTAGTTGCAGATGACACCAGAAAACCAAGGAGTGCAAAACGATAGTTCCAGTGTCACTTGTCTGCCATGCTGGAAGAATTTCCATATCTCTGCCAACGTCCTGATGTCCTTACATGGACAGCTGTTGATAGATCCATTAGGATTTTGGCTCCACTAAGCATGTTCCTCTACATAAATGGCTGCTGGCCAATAAATCATGCCCTTCTCTACTTTTTCTTGCTTCCCTTTCACTCTAGACCCCTGGGTGGTACCTGGAGAGATAGAGAGACTGTACTTTGGTGGAACCTATACTACAGTGGGAAAATGCTTCAATGTTCCTATGCATAGCTCGCATGCTACATTGTATCCAATTTTGAATGTACCCACCATGTTATAAGCAATATGCTTTATCACTTTTGGATGCCAACTGTGTACCTTGTACCATTTTTTGCCCTTGTTTATTATAATAAAAATGTTATTATGTAAGAAACTTTCTCCATGAGTCTAAGGGCTCAGGTACACTGAAGCTGATAAACTCACGTTCAGGAGCTTTTTTGCATTTTCTTTCAGCAGCCCCTGAACTCTCCCTAATGTTTTCCTATGTGTCCATGTACACTATGTCGTTTACAGGCAGTTGAGTTTACAGTTGTTTTTTTTTAACGCACCAAACTTGCATTCAGGAGTAGATTTTATCAGCGCGTTTCAAACGCCAAACGCTTGTAAACGTGACTAACCACTTTCAAAAGCATTTGCGTTTAGAAGCGTTTTTTAACTGTTCTATATCCAAATGCTGTCCAGAGTCTTTTTTTCATCATCAGAAATGCATGCAAAGCGTTTACCATGTATTCAAATGGACCTTCACCCTGTTCCAAATTATTATACAAATTCTATTTAAGTGTCACAAAGATTAAATATTTTGTTTTCAGTTTAACTCATGGATGGCATTGTGTGTCAGGGCTCTTTTGATCACTGAAAACAATCTCGGACACGTGATAATTAGATTGGCAGGTGAGCCCAATTTAAGGAAAAACTACTAAAGGACGGTGTTCCACATTATTAAGCAGAACACCATTTTCAAGCAATATGGGGAAGAAAAAGGATCTCTCTGCTGCTGAAAAGAGTGAAATAGTTTGATGCCTTGGACGAGCTCGAGCTATGAAAACATTAGATATTCATGAAAACCCTGATCATCGCACTATTAAGAGATTTGTGGCTGATTCAGAGCACAGACGGGTTGGTGCAGATAAAGGCACATTGAGGAAGATTTCTGCCAGATCCATGCATCGGATCAAGAGAGCAGCTGCTAAAATACCATTACATAGCAGCAAACAGATATTTGAAGCTGCTGGTGCCTCTGGAGTCCCACGGACATCAAGGTGTAGAGTCCTCCAGAGTCTTGCAACTGTTCATAAACCTTCTATTTGGCCACCACTAACCAATGCTCACAAGCAGAAACAGCTGCATTGGGCAGAAAAATACATGAAGACTAATTTTCAAACAGTCCTGTTCACTGATGAGTGCCGTGCAACCCTGGATGGTCCAGATGGATGGAGTAGTGGATGGTTGGTGGACAGCCACCCTGTTCCAACAAAGCTGCGACGCCAGCAAGGTGGTGGTGGAGTGATGTTTTGGGCCGGAATCATGGGAACAGAGCTGGGTCGGTCCCTTTAGGGTCCCCGAAAGTGTAAAGATGACCTCTGCAAAGTATGTGGAGTTTATGACTGACCACTTTCTTCCCTGGTACAGAAGGAAGAACTATGCTTTCCGTAATAAAACCATCTTCATGCATGACAATGCACCATCTCATGCTGCAAAGAATACCTCTGCATCAATGGCTGCTATGGGGATAAAAGGAGAGAAAGTCATGGTGTGGCCTCCATCCTCTCCTGACCTCAATCCTATTGAGAACCTTTGGAGCATCCTCAAGCAAAAGATCTATGAGGGTGGGAGGCAGTTTACATCCAAACAGCAGCTCTGGGAGGCTATTCTGACATCTTGCAAACAAATTCAAGCAGAAACTGTCCAAAAACTCACAAGTTCGATGGATGCAAGACTTGTGAAGCTGCTATCAAATAAGGGGTCCTATGTTACAATGTAAACGTGACCTGTTAAAATGTTTAAAAAGTTAAAATGTTGTTAAAAGTTTGATTGAAATAGCTTTTGATTTCAGTAAATATGCTGCAAACACAACAAATGACAATTTTCAGTTCTTTACAACCTATAAAGTGTTTTGAAACTTACTGTGCGTAATAATTTGGAACAGTGCATTGGAAGTGTTTTATGTTTAAAAAAAATCCTGTTATCATTAGGAGGTTTGTTCAATAAAATGTGAATTGTACTCTTAATAGTTGATAACATGAGAATTATGCTGACTGTTATTTACATCAATTATTTAGGTAAATGACAAAAATATCATTTGCATAATAATTTGGAACAGGGCAGCAGCATTTGGAACACCAGCGCAGTCAGTTTCAGGTTTTGCGTGAAGGAAAAAAATGGCAGAATGTGCCGCATTATACTCATGATGGGATCCATAGTGAATACAACCAGAAATGACAGGTCATCTCAAGACATATTGATCTCTATGCTTCTGCTCTCTCTATTCTCTCAAAATGTCTGAAATAGTTAATTTTTTACTGTTTTTCAGTGCATTCTGGGCATTTTGGAAGGTCTCCTGAAGTTATCTTTAAAAAACGCTTCTAAACGCAAACGCTCATAAACGCGGTATGCAAACGTGGCTAAACAGACATTCTTTAACCTACATTTTCCAGCAGTCAGTTTCCATCATTCAGAAGTGTTTTCCAAACGTCCCGTGTACATGGAGCCTAAACGTGGCCCAAAGTCTTCAGGGTTTTGTAGCTGGGACAAGGCAGTAGTGTAGACCTGACCACTTGATCTTTTTCATTACCTAGCATGTAGCGCTATCTTATAGATCCATTTTTCATTGCTCAGCCAGCTTATTACTTTGCCTCCAGTTCTGTGTTATGTGATAGACAAGATGCTTCTTTTAGGGGCATTTTGAAATATACAATGTAATATGCTTTTGTTACACAGGGCTGCCTTACTCCAAGTCTGCATCACTTCCTGGATATGGCAAAAACGGACTAAACCGGGTAAGTCATGATGGTTGGTATAGTCATCGGGATCGGGGTCTTAATCTGTGATCCCTTCTGCTACACTAGTGCTGAACCTACGCTGCTAACCCCCTGCCACTTTGCATGTCTATGACTGTAGATGTCGTGCTTTACCTGCAGCTGTCATTTATATCTACAGACGTGTGTTCTTTACACATTGATAGATGTAGAGCTAGCAGGAAATGAACCCAGCCACTAATGTGCAAAGAGAATTCAGCACATCAATATATAATATCATACACAGAGTAATAATAATACACTTAGTAACAGAATGGGAGAGTCCATTGTACTTCTCAAAGTTTGACAAAAATCTAGGATTTGTTTGACAGATAAAACAATCGAATGTTCCAAAGAGTAACTATAACCACTTACCCTCCAGAGGATTTACCCCTCTTCCTGACCAGGCCATATTTTGCTACACGGCGCCGTGTTACTCTAACTGACACTTGTGCAGTCATGCAACACTGCACCCAAATAAAATGTATGTCCTTTTTTTCCCACAAATAGAGCTTTCTTTTGGTGGTATTTGATCATCTGTGAGTTTTTTATTGTATTGCGCTATAAACAAAAAAAGACCAACAATTTTGAAAAAAAGCAATGTTTTTGATTTTTTTTGCTATAAAACATATCAAGTAAAATTATTTAAAAAATCAAATTTCGTCATAAATTTAGGCCAAAATGTATTCTGCTACATGTCTTTGCTAGAAAAAAAAATCCCAATACATGTAAATTAATTGTTTTACATGAAAGTTATAGCGTCTACAAATGGCAGTATATGTATTGGAAATTAAATTTTTTTTTATACTAGTAATGGCAGCGATCAGCTACTTATAGCGGGACTGCGGCGGGCATTCTGACACTTGGGGGGAACTGACTTGGTGTCACTGACATCCCCAGTGACACCAATACAGTGATCAATGCTAATGAAAAGCACTGACACTGTATTAATGACACTGGGCAGGAAGGGGTTAACATCTGGGGTGATCAAAGGGTTAACTGTGTGCTGTTTTACTATGTGCTGTGTATGTTTTACTGTGTAAGCATGCTGCTTTGTATTGCTCTGCTATGCAAAAACACGCTACATGTGTTTTAGCAGCGTCTCCATTGAACTCTGTTGTAGCAAAATTGCTGTTGTCTGGAAGTTTCTGCTTAAATCTTCTAATTAAGCAATATAACATTGTGGAACCTGTCATTTTATCTGTGAAATGGGAGACTGGTTCACTGGCCAGAACAGATTTTGGCATTCGACAATTGAATGACAGAGGATGAGTTTAGCACCTGGAAATGTCAAGCTTTATAAGATTGTGTCTTATATATTACCTATAAAGGCCATCTAAAGGGAACCTGTCATGAATGATTGAACAGCAGCAGTGCACACTACCTTGGGCACTCCGGTTGCGTAGTTCGCAGTGCTCCCCAAAAAGCGAGATAAAGAGGACCCTGTAAGATCAGAAAAAGGTTACCTGACATTGCCTGCTTGTTCTTTAAAATGCAAAAACTGGGGGTCATGCTTATCCTTGATTTATAACACAAGAAACACTAAATCATAACAATTATACAGACTAGGAGTTTTGACAAAACTGACTTGATACTTGTTCCAGGTCAATGATTCATAGGGTAGTACGATGAGGATGACAATGACAGCGTTGGGGTTGAATCGTCAAAAACAAGTCAGCAATGGCTTCTTGTGTATTCCTCTGCTGACCCATCCCCTTTACAGATCTTGTGTGCTGTATATAATTGTGGACTCTGTGAGTGCTGGAGGGACATTGGATTCAAAACAGAACTCAAGTCAGCTTTACAGCATGCGTCTATCCAACTTTTCCTAAATACTCTCATGTGGGCTGTTTTTTGCCTCTTTTTTTGGCTGCAGTGAGCATTGAGACCATTGGAGCCTCAGTACACAGCACACCAGACACTCATTTCCTCTAATTCAGCCTTTCTCAACCTTTTACCTCGGAGGAACCTTTGAAATAATTTTCAGTTCTGGAGATACCACTTCTAAACATGATTATAGTGCAAGAAAACCCTAATTAGAACTGTTCTTAAAAATGCCCCCCCCCCCCCCCCCTTTCCTCTTACCTAACTTTATAACGAAACAGATCTCTGTACTTACCTATCTTCAGTCCGCTGCGGTCTGATCATGTGATCCTGCAGCTCTGTGTAAGGGAGCGCTCGACAACGGCTGTGAATTCCAGGAGTCATTATGTCATCCATATGCTTCCATAGCCCAGCATAGTCAGCTCTCCCTCCTCCCCCCTGCAGCAGCAGCCACTGACTGATACAGGGTAGCTGATGCTGTAGGATCATGTGAACATAATACAAATAGGTAAGTCCACACATCTCTTTTCTATGCAGGTTAGGCAAGATAGGTAGGTGGAGGGGAGAGGGGATAATTTTAAGAATAGTTATAGTTAGGGTCACATTAGTATGATCAGTAAGTTGTAGAAAGCATTAAATAAAAGAATAAAGAATGTGGCATACTTAGCATATTTGACACATAGGGCAGATTCTTTTTTATCACCTTTCATGGTGCAATAAAATAATTATTATGCAACAAAATTATTTTCACAGTAATAATCTTGAAATTAAAAAGTTGTGGTGCCCGCTTACATTAGTAGCCTGTGTGGAAGGGACCCCCTGCATTGGTGGTCAGTGAAAAAATTCCCTCTTACATTGGAAGTCAGTGTAATTGAGATGTCAGTTCACCATTGCTCATTGCTCATGGAACCCCTAGGAACATCTGGAGGAACACTAGCTGTGAAATTCTGTTCAACTAATATCTCAAAGCAGTATCTAACTAAATGGAAATAATTTATAGCAATAAAAAACATAGTTTCAGAGGGACAGTGAGAATGTCTTGAGGATCTTCATTCGAAGTAATTGCAGCTCTTCAGTTCTCTTGCAGTTTTCTCAGTTATATATCTAGGAAATGAATTATTGTTTCTTTGCAGTGCTATTAAAAATTAATTCAGTTGTCAGACATGAGCGGATTCATGTTGATATTACAAAGATCAATAATACTTATTCCTGAGCATTCACTGGAAACTCATCAATGAGGGGGCACTATTCCTCCTACTGACATCAACAATGGGAAACCGGACTGTCAACTCATGGGGCCCCTGGGCAATAGGGGATCATGGGGCCCCTGTGTCCTTGCCCAAACTCAAGAAAGCCTATGAAAAAGGTACCAGGGGCATCTCATGGGGCCCCCTACTAACCCCGGGCCCTCGGGTAGTGCCCGAGTTTCCAAATGGTCAGTCTGCCCTTGTGGAAAACTATTCCTCCTTGTGAGAAAACTATTCCTCCTACTGACATCAACAATGAGAAACTATTCCTCCCTCTGACAACAACGATGGGAAACAATGACATCAACTGGGGATTCCTCCCTCTGACAACAACGATGGGAAACTATTCCTCCCTCTGACATCAACGATGGGGAACTATTCCTCCCTCTGACATAAGTGATGGGGCACTATTCCTCCCACTGGCATCAACGATGGGGAACTATTCCTCCCTCTGACATCAACGATGCCGCACTATTCCTCCCTCTGACATAAGTGATGGGGCACTATTCCTCCCTCTGTCTCACTGAGACAGTTTTTACCTACTTACAGGCTGTCAGCTTCCTTTCCTTTCTTCCAGCCTCCATCCTGGAGGCAGAGCCCCCTTCTCCGGGGTCCCCTCACAGGTTACACAGTGGAACCTTCAATAATCCATCTTCCACCCGACTCCCCTTGCTGCTGGCTTTTCCATATTTATAGACTGGGCTTCCCACACTGCTAGAACCTCCTATCTGGGATTGGTCAGACTCCTATGAATATGCAGATCCAGGTCTCCACCCCTCTGCCCGCTAATTTCTGGAAGCTTCGATAGACCTTCAAAACCAGAGGGAGGCGATAGAGGCCCAACCTGCTGAGTCATTCAGACTAACCTGAGCTTGATCCCTACTCGGACATGCTCACTCCAACTACTGAGTGAGCCATTACATTTTTCTAACTCTCTAGCACCACTAATCCCCAAACTACAGCCCACTTGTTGCCATAAAACTAACACCTGCAAAGAGAAGAGAGGGGGATTCTTTTAGCATCCTGCTGACAACAATGTCTGGAAGGCATCCTTTATTACTCTCACTGACCACTGACAAAGGGGCATTGTTTACTCCCACTGACCACTGACACAAAGTGTATTTTTTTAGTCCTACTGACCACTGACAAAGGAAGATTTAGCATTACTTCTACTGACTACCGATGCAGGGGCATTTATTACTCCCACTGACCACTGATGTAGGGGCATATTTCTCCCCCTGACATCCCACGCCAGGGCATTTTGTTACTCATAATGACCACAGTTAGTCCCTGACCCTTTGTGTAAATATTTTGGGGACCACTTTACTAATGAATGAGTTAACTTAGGCAGCAATTTACAGGTTATTAAATTGCACATTTCTTTGCATTGCATGAATTGGAAATTGTAAGAACATATTAAAATCCTAGGATAACAGTCAGCTAAAGTGCCACAATAGGTTGTTAAATGCAGTAACACAGCACAATAAATTAGATGTTCTAAAATGGAATCGAGCAATGGCTTATTTACTAATGAAGTTGAATATGTTTTAAAATTCAGTACAAATGCATATGCAAGAAAAATGAATGTATTTCAGAGAGCCTAGTAAGAATTAATGCCAGTATAACTTTTCTCCTCCAGGCTACAAATTTTGGTCAGTACGTGGATGATGATGCCAGCTGGGGCATGAAAGGTACCAACCCCCAATTTAATGTTTGTTCTTGTTATATACTAAGAGGAGAAATCCCATTGCTAAGGCTTATTCATCAAACTGTGAGGTTTCCTTTGCATTTAAAGTATTCATTTCTGTGGTGCACCATCTTGTCATTACCTTTGTCTGTCCATTTTTCCATGCATTTCCCCATGTGATTTTTTTGTCTATTGATTTAGAACAGGGATAGGCAACCTTTCAGTAGTTTGAGATCTACCTGGACAATATGGAAATTAAAGATACCCAGGCGCATGGAGGGTAGTGAGGCCGCACCTTTTAAAAAAGAAAAAAAAAACCCATTAAGCCCCCAATAAAAAGACATTATGAAGAACACATAGTGTGTTACAATAGTATACTCTGCCCCCTTTCACATAATTTCCTATCAGCCCCCACCATAGTGGCCTCTGGCCCCATACACAGCAGTGGACTCTGCCCTTCATATCATCATCCCCCCCGCCCACTGTAGTGTCCTATGCTCCTCTGTCCTCCCCATTGCAGTGTACCCTGCCCCTTCACATCACTCGCCACTGTAGTGTCCTCTGCCCCCCATAGCAGTGCTCTCTACCCCCCTTCACATTCCCCCCCCCTCCCCCCACTGTAATGTCTTCTGCCTCTCCCCCCCCATAGCAGTGTCCTTTTCCCCTCTGCCCTTCCGCCATAGCAGTGTCCTCTTCCTTCTCCACATCACCCACCACTGTAGTGTCCACTGCTCCTCTGCCCCCCAGTAGCATTGTCCTCTGCCCCATTCCACATCACTCCCCATCCCCCCACTGTAGTGTCCTCTGGCCCCCCACACAGCAGTGACCTCTGCCCTTCATTTCACCATCCCCCCTCCCCCCTGCCACTGTAGTGTCCTGTGCCCCTCTGTCCTCGCTATTGCAGTGTACCCTGCCCCATCCACATCACTCCCCCTCCCCTCCCCCCACTGTAGTGTCCTCTGGCCCCCCCACACAGCAGTAACCTCTGCCCTTCATTTCACCATCCCCCCTGCCACTGTAGTGTCCCGTGCCCCTCTGTCCTCGCTATTGCAGTGTACCCTGCCCCTTCACATCACTCTCCCACTGTAGTGTCCTCTGTCCCCCATAGCAGTGCTCTCTGCCCCCTTCACATCCCCCCCCCCCCCCCCCCCCACACTGTAATGTCTTCTGCCCCCCACCCCCATAGCAGTGTCCTCTTCCCCTTTGCCCTCCCCCATAGCAATGAGAATGGAGAGAGCAGGAGGGTAGGCAGCACAGTATTCAATGGAGGGGGCGGGAGTGGGAACTGCTGGTGCTAACTTTTCATATCAACAAGCTGGTGATTGGTTGCTAAGACCACCCAGCTTCCTAACAACCAATCACCTGTTGTTTAACTGCAGCAGCTCCTGATCCCATCCTCTGTCTACTATGCTGCCTCCCGCTCTCCCGCTCTGCTGTGAAGTGAGTGGCAGAGGCTGAGGGGAAGCACCGGCGGCTGTCTTTCAGATGTACCGATTGGCTGCCTGTGATCAACAGGTAGATAGTGATCAACAGGTTGCCGAGTCAAGATTTAAAGGATTCTTTAGTCTGGTTATTTATCCAGCTCTATGGGCACACAGCACTCTCTACAACCATGGTAGTTCTGCCACTAGCAAGCAGTTAGATTCTCCAGCAAAAGGAAGAATATCATTGGCTGTTATAGAGCGTTTGTTTGAACACTGGGCACCTTATAATATAAAGGAGATCATACAGAGCAGGAATTATTTCTAGGGCATCTGTATAGTTCATTGGTGATGTATATCAATGGACCCTTGGTTTCTATCTGCTGTCACTCTTTTGAGCTTCCATATAAACTGAGTAAAGTGGTCAAGGATTGGATGAGGCAAGAAATAGCCATAGAAAGAAATAAGGCTCTAAATATGTATGTCTGTGTCATAACATGGTGACCCGCCATATTGCTTGGAGGGCACTAATGGATGCAGGCACATAAAAATTACATTTTACATGTTGGCAGTGGGCATTATGACTGCTTGAAAATATTTTTGTTTCAGGTTCCAGCCAATGTTCAGGGGGATCAACACAGGGATTTTTAATCGTAGTATCTTAATGTGACACTTAATGATATTCTTCTTCTCCAATATAATCCACACATCCACTACTTAATGTCTCTGTTATCTATTTTTAATGAAATTATTTCTTAATATGTTTTTCTGCCTCCTTATGATGTCCTCTGTGAGTTCCTGAACCTCTCCATTTTCCACTTACTTCTGTTTATATGAAATGAGCAGTGCATGTTAGTTGCGGTCATGTACACTGATCTATGCACACTACAAATTCCATAGTCCACCTCAGGAGCGAGCTATCGAGCCATGGAGAACAAAGGTAGTTACCCTCTAACAAAAAGTTGGATTATAGCAGTAAAAAAGTAATTTGGAGGAGGCTAAGAGTAATGGAAGGAACTATTTTGAGTTAAGAATACATATCTAAAAAGGAATATGCCAAAAGCTCTTTTGACCCTACTTCTCCTGTGGGTTACAGAAGCGCAATTAGTTCTGCACTCCTATGACCCAGATTAGCCGTCAGCAGGCTAAAGTCCACTGTTGACTAACATCACAGAGCCATCCAGGCTCTGCAGGGATCTTGACAATAATGTCGAGATCCACCCAGATGCCTGACCACACCCTCTACAGCCTGGCGCTCCATCAAGCGCCGGAGGGGCAGAGCAGAGAGCGGTGACTGACAGTTCTCGGGTCTGAGCACGGGTGACTGAGCGATCAGCGGTCTTTTATTGCTCAGTTCCTGGTGTAGAGGTGGCGGGGGACCGATGCAGCACCGAATTGATGCTGCAGCCAACTAGGTGAATATGAATGTTTTTTATTTTTTTTTTAATTTCCCGTACTTCTCTTTTAAGTATCAATTTAAAAATCACTCTTGATTGACCAATATCTCACTTTGAGTGCACTAAATTCAATGTTTTTCTAATTTGATGACTGCAAGTAAAAGGTTAATGTCATCTACTGAGCCTTACAAAAGTCCCTGTGTGGTTTTGACCTTCCCACATTGTACATGTATACATTATTCCAGAGTAAAGTACTATGAACGCCCAGAGAATAGATAGATCTCTGTCTACACATGTACACAGCATGTTCCCCATGTCGAGTGAAGCTGTCCTGTACTATATACTGTACATACAGATCAGCTTGTGTTTAATGCTCCATGAATCACTGTAAATTGATGTATTCTTATTAAGTAATTTAAATAATTGCTAAAACAAATGTACACACCAACATATTAATAATGAACATCGGGTGTGCTCGTCATCCTGCTCATGTGGTCTGATTTTTCCTCTCATGGAAAGTGAGACATAATTCATTTACGTGGTTATAAAGGCTTACGGTTTTTACCCTTCATTCATTCTATGCTTGAAGGTAAAAAAAAACCTTCTTTGTGCAGTAGTACCCCCCCCCCCCACAATTACACCTAAGCCCCATTACAATCCAGCGATGTGCACGAGGGCCTCTCCAGGGACTGTCCATCCTCAGCTGTAAATCACAGTCAGTGAGCCAATGAGAAGATAACGAGGGGGTGGGGCCGTGTTCTGTGTGTGAATGGGCACACAGAGCAGTGGCTCGGGAATGAGCCTGCTTGGGTGCCCCCATACAAGCCGCTTGCTGTGGGGGCATTTGGCAGGCAGTAAGGGCCAGGAGCACCATTGGGGACCCATGAAGAGGAGGATTGGGGATGCTGTGCAAAACCACTGAGATATGTACACAACTGTACAGAACTTCTAGTGTTGCCATACTGCAGGGATGCTTAACTTGTGGGCCACATGTGGCCCTCAAAAACCTCTGATGTGACCCTTGACATCAAACCAGGGAAGCTCATGCCCAGGGTCAGCGAGCTGGGCTTGCCGACCTGCCATCCTAGAGCATCAGAGTGCATTGCTGGCACTGGCAGCGGAGTAAGCAGGCAGCCGTGGAGGAATAAGAAGTTGCATGAGCCGATGCTTCCTCTGTAGCACCAGCTATAGGATGCCTGTCCTCTCCATTTTCCTCCTGCAACTGCTGAAAGCCGGCTTCTCCTCCTCTCACTCCCTGCTGGCATTCAGGAGCTGCAGGAGGAAAATGTTCTTCATGCTATTGAAAATAAAAAATGTGAAATTCTGAACCATTTAATTGTGGCCCGCAATTGGTTACCAAATCACTTAGGTGGCCCTCCCTCTTCAAAAGAGGTTGTGCACCCCTGCCATACTGCATATATACAGACATAGTATATTATATCATTTTTAAACCAAAGTTGATTTTTCTTTTAAACTGAACTCCAGGCACAAACATTTTCCTTTAAATATATTCCTCAATAGCTAGAGAGGATATAAATCTACTTTGTGTGTACCAAGTTATTTTGTAAACCCAGATATTACCTTGTAAAGGTAGCAGTGACATCATCACTTTGCTGTACATAGCCTGTGTAGAGAGCAGAGCTGTAGGAGAGGTTCAACAGGTTCAACCCACTACAGGCTGCGTGCAGAAAACTATAGGAGGGGGCGGATACAAGACCAATCACCTTGCACAAGAAGGGAGAGCTGCAGTGACTGGTCTTTATTACAAGAAGTTCCTGCACAGAGGTAAAGCTTCACACTGGATTACTGCACAGTTATGAAGGAAATACACAAAGCACATCACGATCCCATGGTTTAATTGCACATAACATGTAAACATTCACTGGGCAGGGAGGAAAAAGTATATGAGGCCCTAGCTTAATGACTTCTCCCAGAGCTAATTGGAGCCAGGAGTGAGCCAACCTTGACTCCAATCAGTGTGATGATATTGGATGTGTTGCTGACAGCTGTCCTGCCTTAAAAACACACACACCTGTTTTGGGTTTACTGGTTTCAAGAAGCACTGTCTGATGTGAACCATGCGTCGCAGAAAAGAGCTCTCAGAAGACCTACGATCAAGAATTGTTGACTTGCATGAAGTTGGAAAGGGTTACAAAAGTATCTCCAAAAGCCTTGATGTTCATGTGTCCACGGTAAGACAGACTGTCTACAAATGGAGAACGTTTAGCACTGTTGCTACTCTCCCTAGGCGTGGCCGTCCTGTAAAAATGACTGCAAGAGCACAGCGCAGAATGCTGCATGAGGTAAAGAAGAATCCCAGAGCGTCAGCTAAAGACCTACAGAAATCTCTGGCACATGGTAACATTTTTGTTGACACATCTACAATAAGGAAAACATTAAACAAGAATGTAGTACATGGGAGGACACCACGGAGGAAGCCATTGCTTTCCAAAAAGAATATTGCAGCACGTTTGAAGTTTGCAAAAGAGCACCTGGATGTTCCACAGCACTACTGGCAAAACATACTGTGGACAGATGAAACCAAGATTGAGTTGTTTGGGAAGAACACACAACACTATGTGTAGAGAAAAAAAGGCACAGCACACCAACATCAAAACTCATCCCCACTGTAAAACATGGCGGAGGGAGCATCATGGTTTGGGGCTGCTTTGTTGCCTCAGGGCCTGGACGGATTGTTGTCATTGATGGGAAAATTAATTCCAGAGTTTATCAAGACATTTTGCAGGAAAACGTACGACCATCTGTCTGCCAACTGAAGCTCCGCAGAGGATGGGTGATGCAACAGGACAATGACCCAAAGCATACAACTAATTCAACAAAACAATGGCTGCAACAGCACAAAATACGCCTTCTGGAGTGGCCCAGTCAGAGTCCTGACCTCAACCGATTGAAATGCTGTGGCATGACCTTAAGAGAGCGATTCACACCAGACATCCCAAGAATATTGCTACACTGAAACAGTTTTGTGAAGAGGAGTGGTCTAAAATTACTCCAGATCGTTGTGCAGGTCTGATCTGCAACTACAGGAAACGTTTGGTTGAGGTTATTGCTGCCAAAGGAGGGTCAATCAGTTATTAAGTCCAAAGGTTCACATACTTTTTTCCTCCCTGCACTGTGAATGTTTACATGTTATGTGCAATTAAACCATGGCAACATCTAATGTTTGTGTAGTATTATGTTCAGCAGACTGTGTTCTTCTATTGTTGTGACTTAGATGACATTCAGAGCACATTTTATGCCCAATTCATGCAAAACTCCACGTAATCCGAAGGGGTTCACATACTTTTTCTTGCAACTGTACACATGGCTCTTGTATTTAGCTAATATTTACTTATCCTGGTAGGTTTTAGCACAGAGGCAGTATTTCCTGGCTGACATTAACTCTTGAATTATTTTATTTGTTCCTGGAGATGGTATTTATTTACGGCTGCAGACATTTTAAATGACATTATCAAGTCACATCAGTAAATAAATGTTTTGGAGATCACTTTTTAATATCACATTTTCTGTGTGTTCTCTTTACAGAGTACAAGGTAAGAGGAGCCATACTCTTCCCGTTTTATCAGCAATGTGTTGTATGTATTCATTCAACTACCAAGGTTGTATTCAGTAACCAAGTATATTTGCAGCATCATAAATGTACTGTATGTACACATATCTACTGTAAGTTCAGCTATGTGTATGGATGTTTACAATACTCTGAACACTTTACTATTATTATTATTATTATTATCATTACTATTAGCACTTTTCAAAATAAAGGGAGACAGTACAGTTACAATACAGTTATTACAAGAGGGTTAGGGGACCCTGTTCATAAGAACTTACAATCTAAAGGGAGGGGCAAGTGATATAAAAGGCAATAACTGGGATACGTTGAAGAAAAAGTAAATATTCCGTTTTTAGGAGGAGGAGGAATAGGCTTCCTTAAAGAGAATGAATATTCAGGAGTCTCCTAAAGGTGGAAAGAATAGGAGATAGCTAGACAGGTGGGTGTTGGGAGTTACCAAGGATGGGAGAGGCTCTGGAGAAGTCCTGGAGGCAAAGCATTGGGGAAGTTGATGAGGACGGTAGAGAACAGGAGGTCTTGGGAGGAACGAAGAGGGCGGTTTGGGTGCTTTTTTTAAGATGAAGTTGGAGATACAGTTGTGGCCAAAATTATTCAACCCCCACTGAAATTGAGTGTTTTGGCCAGTTTGACATTGCTTTTGATCATTCAGTCATCTTGCTTACATTTACATTAAAGAGGCACTTGTAGGTCAGACAAATATAACATAACAGTTATAATGAAATAACCACAAATGTCTTTTCTGTGCTCACAGCATTATCAGTTTTATTCAACCCCCAAGTGACATTCAATCTTAGTACTTAGTACAGCATCCTTTTACAGTTATAACAGCTTTTAAACGTGAAGCATAGCTTGACACAAGTGTCTTGCAGCGATCTACGGGTATCTTCGCCCATTCTTCATGGGCAAAGGCCTCCAGTTCAGTCACATTCTTAGGCTTGCGCACTGCAACTGCTTTCTTTAAGTCCCACCAGAGGTTCTCAATCGGATTTAAGTCTGGTGACTGCGATGGCCACTCCAAAATGTTCCAGCCTTTCCTCTGCAACCATGCTCTAGTGGACTTGGAGGTATGCTTGGGATCATTGTCCTGTTGAAAGGTCCAACGTCTCCCAAGCCTCAGGTGTGTGACGGACTGCATCACGTTTCCATCCAATATCTCCTGGTACTGAAGAGAATTCATGGTACCTTGCACACGCTGAAGCTTCCCTGTACCTGCAGAAGCAAAACAGCCCAAAGCATGATTGACCCTCCACCATGCTTCACAGTAGGCAAGGTGTTCTTTTCATCATAGGCCTTGTTCTTCCTCCTCCAAACATAGCGTTGATCCATGGGCCCAAACAGTTCTAATTTTGTTTCATCAGTCCACAGAACACTATCCCACAACTTTTGTGGTTTGTCCACATGGCTTTTGGCATACTGCAGTCGACTCTTCTTATTCTTTGGAGACAGCAAGGGGGTACGCCTGGGAGTTCTGGCACGGAGGCCTTCATTACGCAGTGTGCGTCTTATTGTCTGGGCTGAAACTTCTGTACCCACATCTGACAAATCTTTTCTCAGTTCCTCAGCAGTCACACGGGGACTTCTCTCCACTCTACGCTTCAGGTAGCGCACAGCAGTCGAAGTCAGCATCTTCTTTCTGCCACGACCAGGTAGCGTTTCAACAGTGCCCTTTGCCTTGAATTTGCGAATGATGCTTCCTAAGGTGTCTCTTGGTATGTTTAACATCTTTGCAATCTTCTTATAGCCATTGCCCTTCCTGTGAAGAGAAATCACCTCTTCTCTTGTCTTCCTGGACCATTCTCTTGCCTTCACCATGTTTGTAACCACACCAGTAAATGTCTAGAAGGAGCTGAGTATCACAGTCATTTTTAAAGCTGCCTAATTGGTGCTTATTATGCTTGATTGCTGCTCGGTGACATCCACAGGTGTTTTCAATACCTGATGGAAAGCACCTGTATGAACCTCTGTTCTTCAGAGTGGTAGTCTTTAAGGGGTTGAATAATTGTGGCAATGAAGAAACCACATAAGAACCATTTACTACTGTATTACATAAACAATTGATGTCATTTTAGTTGCATTTGGGTAGTTACAACGTCCTTGTAGGATTTGATTCTGAATACAATTCCAAATGTACACTATAGTCCCTAAACCCCTTTACAGCATTGGGGGTTGAATAATTTTGGCCACAACTGTATATGTGGGGGAGGAGATGTTGGTAGCTTTGAATGTTGTTTGAATTGTATTCCCTTTATTTCTTTGTATTCCTTTTCCTCTTTCTTAGGCCTATCCCTATGAAATGCTGATTGTAACAAACCAACTGCGGGTGAAGCTTCCAAAAGACGTGGACAGAACCAGACTGGAGGTAATGCATTATGTGTTTACGTACAGGGGAGCAGTCATCTAGTTAATGTGTACACTATGTGAAATCTAGAGCTCGGTGGGGGGTAGATCCGCTTTATTAAAGTTCAGCTTATTTTTAGCTTTGGACAGAGTGGGCAAGGCTTAAATCTGTCAGAACTATATTGCTGTTCAGGTCCTCATCTGGGTGATATACCTTTCCATCAGGTGTCGCAGGTAGAGGAAGAGATGGGATATCTCTCCTATGAGAACAAAAGCACAGTTGGTTTAGTAGAGTTGAAAAGGATTAGAGCAACTTTTTATGCTTTCTTTGTCTTCTTGTCCTTGGTGACATCCATTCCCTCATTTCCTGTCCTGGTGACACTCATTCCTTGTTCTGGGGGCACCCATTCCCTTATTCCTTGTTCTGTGGACACCCATTCTCTTATTCCTGGTCTTGGTGACATGCAGTCCCTCCATTTTTGTCCTGATGACTCTCATTCCTTGTCCTGGGGACACCCATCCCCTTATTCTTTATCCTTGGGACACCCATTTCCTTATTCTTTGCCTTGGTGATATCCATTCCCTTATTTTATGTCTTGGTGACACTCATTCCTTGTCTTAGGGACACCCTTTCCATTATTCTTTGTCCTGGGGACACTCATCCCCTTATTTTTCATCCTGGAGACACCCATTACCCTATTCCTTGCCTTGGAGGCATCCATTCCCTCATTTCTTGCCTTGGTGACCCTCATTCCCTATCCTGTGGACACCTATTCTCCCATTCCTTGTTCTGGGGACATCCATTCCCTTATTCCTTGTCCTGGGGGACACCCATCCCCTTATTCTTTGTCCTAGGGTATCCATTTCCTTATTCCTTGCCTTGGTGACATCCCTTCCCTTATTTCTCTTGTCTTTGGTGACAATTCTTCCCTGTCCTAGGGACACCCATTCCCTTATTCCTTGTCTTGGTGACATCCAGTACTTCATTTCTTGTCCTGGTGACTCTCATTCCTTGTCCTAGGGATACCCACCCCCTTATTTTTGTCCTGGGGACACCTATTTGCTTATTCCTTGCCTTGGTGATCCAATCCATTCCTCATTTCATGTCTTGGTGGCATCCATTCCCTCATTTCATGTCTTGGTGGCATCCATTCCCTCATTTCTTGTCTTGGTGACCCTTATTCCCTTTACTGGGGGCACCATTTACTCATTTCTTGTCATTTCTGGTGACATTGGGACAGGAAATAAGGGAAAATCTCTTCAATGGTTACACAGACAGCCATAAACTCTACAAAAGTTAACAAGGTAAGGGTGGGTGTTGTAATTTACTGCACAGCAATATTAAATTCCTTGCTCACTCTGAAACCCAAGCAAAACAGTACATTTGAAAACAGACAGATTATGCCTACTTTTGGCAATCCATTTGAGCCTGACATTATGGGTAGCATTGGCAGCTATGGGTGTGTGGAGAAATCTGGTTGTGTGTTATACCCAGCATCCATAAGAACAAATCAATGTCATGTTTGTATCACAATTATCTCATCACTTTTGCCTATAGCCACTGTTTAGTAGATGGTACTTATATGAATGAGTGTCTCGTTTGCTGGTGGCTGTTTTTGGAAATATTTTAGTGGATTTCAAGTGCTTTACATGTGTATGCAAGCTTTAGGCATTTTTGTTTTAGCCAAGAAGAGGACCAAGCCTATGCAATTAATCTATGCATGGGAAAATACAAATTTTGCCTGGAGTTATTCTTTAACTGTATTTATCTTTTTGTCTGAGCCATCTGGAGGTTAGCTTTAATGATAATTTGAAAATTTGAAAGTCCGAGTGAATTCAGAACTCCTGGTCTGTATGTTTGTTTCACACAGTAACTCAGAAAGAACTCTAGACATTAGATGAGCATGGCAGCCTGGCAACTAGTATTTTCTGGTGTCACAGTGAAGTCACAACTCCTCATTTTCATAGAATCAACCAATAATACCCAAGTACAATCACTCCTATAATTCCACTTGTGAATATATGTATACTTTATGTACTGCTGCACACCTTCATGTGTTCCCACAAGTTTAAGAAGTAAAAAAATAAATATAATCAGTGCCACACAGTACTATGCAATATACAGACCTCTCTATATACCCTCTATTTGCTCTTCATAAAGTGCTCAATGTCATCACTCAGATGAAATTAAAATTTAAAAAAAATTAATCCACATGTACCAAACAATTTGTCCTTGTGTACTGCTTTAAATGTAAACGTCCCTTTAAAGTGCAATTATTCTTCTCCAATAATACTAGGTATTCCTTATGTACAGATTAGTTATCCATATGTACCAACCAACAAAGACATGTGTTCACTCTCTTTGCACCACACTGGCTTATAAATGGAAATTTCAGAATATAATGTCCATGTGTACACAATTATCCATATGTCCACAGTGTATTCGTTTATTATGTTTATAGTGTCCAATGTGTGTGAAAAGTAAACGTTCTAACTGTTTCAAACTTAAATTCTTTTCACTGGTGTTTTGTGATGTATCCTTCATTCAAAGTGCACATCCCCGTCACCACAAAGCTTATGCTCTCACCTTAAGAGTATACCCAACATACACTATATTGCCAAAAGAATTGGGACGCCTGAATTTACACGCACATGAACTTTAATGGCATCACAGTCCTAGTCTGTAGGGTTCAATATTGAGTTGGCCCACCCTTTGCAACTATAACAGCTTCAACTCTTCTGGGAAGGCTGTCCACAAGGTTTAGGAGGTGTCTATGGGTGTGTTTGACCATTCTTCCAAAAGCGCATTTGTGAGGTCAGGCACTGATGTCAGACGAGAAGACCTGGCTCGCAGTCTCCACTCTAATTCATCCCAAAGGTGTTCTGTCAGATTGAGGTCAGGACTCAGTGCAGGCCAGTCAAGTTCCTCCACCCCAAACTCGCTCATCCATGTCTTTATGCGCAGTCATGTTGGAACAGGAAGGGGCCATCCCCAAACTGTTCCCACAAAGTTGTCAGCATGAATTGTATGCTGATGCCTTAACAGTTTCCTTCACTGGAACTAAGGGGCCAAGCCCAACTCCTGAAAAAAACAACCCCACACCATAATCCCACTTCACCAAACTTTACACTTGGCACAGTGAAGTCAGGCAAGTACCAAACTCCAGGAAACTGGCAAACCCAGACATGTCCATCAGTATTGCCAGATACAGAAGCATGATTCATCACTCCAGAGAACACATCTTCACTGCTCTAGAGTCCAGTGGCGGCATGCTTTACACCACTGTATCTGACGCTTTGCATTGCACTCGGTGATGTAAGGCGTGGGGTGCAGCTGCTCGGCCATGGAAACCCATTCCATGAAGCTCTCTACGCACTGTTGTTGTGCTAATCTGAAGGCCACACAAAGTTTGAAGGTCTTTAGCTATTGACTCTGCAGACAGTTGGCAACTTCTGCCAACTGTGGTATTATATTTAGTAGTAGTATTATATTTAGTAGCTAGGAAATTTCATGGATGGACTTATTTCACAGGTGGCAACCTATCACGGTACCACGCTTGAATTCACTGAGCTCCTGAGAGCGCCCCATTTTTTTCACAAATGTTTGTAGAAGCAGTCTGCATGCCTAGGTGCTTGATTTTATAGACCTGAGGCCATGGAGGTGATCGGAACACTTGAATCCAATGATTTGGAGGGGTGTCCCAATACTTTTGGCAATATAGTGTATATTAGGTCATATGCGCCTTCCCCTTTAACTGGGGCTCTTGCTGTATATATCACAGCATCGATCACCCACTCCAGTCACCAGATGATTTACAATCCAGATCCATCCTCCATAATGCTTCAGACCAGGACATCGGAAAGCTCAGAAAAAGGAAGAATATATAGTGCTCTCTGCTTCCAATTTGATATTTTATTAAAACCTGTAGAGGGTATAGATAGGTCTGTTTATTCCTTGTTTTCACACTTTGCCTGTTTCAGGGGATAAGTATTTTTGAAGGAACCAGGGCAGCCTCCATACTTTCCCCACTACAGATCTCCTTTTCAAAGTTCCTTTTGTGGCGGTGTTCTCAAGTTAGGAGGAATGTGAGATATTAAATTCTATATATATATAGTCAAAACTGTTTTTAAGGTGTGACAGTAGGCAGGTGAAATCACCTGGTTGCGTCCTGGATGGACGATATATTTGTCCGAGATTCAGGGTTTATGGGGATTTGTACCACTAGAGGGAAGTGCTGAGTCCTTCAGCACTGAGATAATGAGCCCAGCTGAAGGTAGTGGGCTCATTAACACTTGTATAAAAGCTTCCCAGAGTGCTTAGGGAGTTGCTCCACCCTGGAACCAGATCTGTGCCTGAACTGTCTGGGGAGCTGACCTGTTATCTGTGTGCAGAGAGACCAAAGCCTGTGTGGCTAACCTCCCAGTACTAGCAACTAGGTATAGCAGCAGGCTGTACCTAGTGGGTAGCTAGGGAAAAGCTGTTGTTGCAGTAAGTAGCCAAGTTGGCCAGGATTTATTTTGATGTCTCTTTTTGTTTATCATTTTTTCTGTAAATATTGTAAATAAATTGCACCTGTTTGTTTTCACCTCCACTATTGTTGTGCTGTGCCTATCTTTTTGTGTTGTGCACCCATCCAGGGGGTCACACACACCGCTGCCGAGCTAACCTTGTTACAAAGGGAAAGGTGAGATGTTCTGTCAGATGTTTTTGCTGTCTGTGTCCCCGCTGAGGAGATTTGCCTTCTTTTATTTCTGGGTCCCATTTACATCCAGACAGGAAATCCAAATGTTTACAGTTGTCTCTGGAACAGGGGAAATGTCTGGAGACACCTGCTCTGATCAGAACTGTTTAAAAAGGGATATGCCCTCATTTTGGAAGGATTTCCCCCCCACTGCCTGTAGTGATTCTGGGACAGGAAGCGTGGGGAAGTCTGTCTAATAGGACACTGACAGCAAGAAAAATTTGCTTTTTACTTTGCTACCTTGGCCACAGTTGCCCCCCTCCCCACAATCAACATGCAA